TTGCGCTTACTAAGCGGCCTTCGAATGTTGGGTCCTTCATAGTTTTGGCATATGATTTAACACGGCGTGTTTCGGCACCGCAAAATTGATGCGTACAGATTAACTTATTTTTCGCTCCATGCTAGCTATCAGTATTCACTGGCAAACGCACACAGTCACAATCCGCATTGAGCAACACTGAACTTCTATATATTGGGCATTGATCACTTCCAGACAATCAAGTTGCAGTCTAGCTCGACGCTCTTTAAAGCTTTGGACCTCTGCTTGGTCTCTGGAGCTGTTCGACCACCACTCACATATCCCGGTGCAATCAGATTACAATGAGTGGTGTTGCTCTGCCAACTGACAGCTCAAGGAAAGCCTGCACAAAGTTCGCGAATCTTGGTGATCGAAGCATGCTTCAGAAATGAAGACCAATCTGGTTATGCTTACAAGCTTTCTAATTCATTCGGTCCACCGGCCTCAGGAAGCGTGGTGTCAATGATTATTTACAAGGCGGATGGGATCACCGACCAGCAGAGGCGTTTGGACCACTGGACCAAGCACTTTCATTCCCAGTTTAGATGGTCCCCGCCGTTCATCTGTGTGCCCAGTATACCCAGTTGCCTACACTGGCTCCTTCCATTGTATCCACCCAGCGAATCTGCCTCAAGATTCGACACTTGAAATGAATCAAGGCTGTCGGCCCAGAGTGACTTTCTTCGGAACTGTTCAGTTACGACGTCTTGGTAATCATTGAGCAGCTGATCTCGTTGTTTTCTAAAATACGGTATGAGAAGAACTACCGCTTGGGGTGAATGAATTATTGTCCCGATTTTCAAAAAGGGCCCTCTTCATCTGTCAATACTCAAGGGATTAACCTCATTTCGTTTGTCCCCAAGCTACTGGCATCCTTCCTACTTCGTAAGCTATTACGTGAATTTTACTACAGTGAAGTGCAAACTGGTTTCCGTTCCTGCCGTGGATGCATGGATCAGCTCTTCACGCTTCAATAACCCCTCGAACATCGCATCCTTAGCACAGACCTACTATCGTCGCATTCCTAGATATACGGGCTACATTTGTTTGTTAGTCGATCTGCTTTATGTCATTGCCTGCTAATGAACCGGGTCCTAGATAAGTATACCGCTATTCTACGTGCACTTTACCTACATGTCTCTGCAAAATGAAGGTCTCTGACAAGTTTTCTTCACTCTTCGCTTTCGATGATAATGTCCCATGTCATGTTGAGTGCTGTAGGATGTTGCTAAAAGTTCTGCCTATAGCTTCTAACGGGTGAACGCGCGACTGGCTTGGCTTGGGCTGAGGATTTCCCATTGCTTGGTGGCGATCGGCAGAGTATGCAACTCATTTTTATACATAATTGAAGTTCATCACAGCCAGCTTCCAAATCAGATAGCCGTCCACATGCCAAGAAAAGCACTAGACTGCAGTTTCAGCCTGTTGGGCATCATCAGTAGTGCGCATCCATCGGATCCATCAGGATTCGAACCCATGATCACCAGCAGCTTGAACCGCCAGTCAACAGCTTATGCCACGGGGCCACGGGGGACAGCTTCGGGCCGTCAAGATTTACAAGCGAACTGTGATATAGCGCGTCTTATCCTCCACTGCTATGCAAGTTACGAATGTTGCAGAGGATAAGGTTGGCCCCTAAAGCCACGAAGTCCACTAACAGTAGCTATGTACAACACAGCATTTAGTAACTGTTGGGGCAATGGTCTTGCGTTCGAATCCTGATGGATGCGCACTATTGATGATCCCCAACAGTCTGAAACTACAGTCTAATGCTTTTCCGGGCATGTGGACGACTATCTGATTTGGAAGCTGGCTGTGATGAACTTCAATTATCTGCATCAAAATCCCTTACCCATGTGTACACCATTCTTATACGTTTGGTAGTTGAGACATCTAAGTATAACATGAGCTTCGCCCCGTCGAAGTGTAAAGTGTTGCTCCAAGATTGACTCACACCTGTTCTCGTGCTCACTGTAGAAAGTGCACAGATCGAACGGCTAGGTAGTTTCGTCTACCTTGGGACTAGTGTTTCTGCTGGCCGCACTATCGCGAAGAAATTTTCCCTCTCATCTGTTTGGCTCGGTCGGCATTCGTCAATCTGCGACACTTGTGGCGTCGTCGGGACTTCTGTGCCTCACTTAAGGGCCACGTTTCCCGTGGCTCAGTTCGCATAGTGCCGTTGTATGGGAGCGAGTTTTGGCCAGTTCACATGGATCACTTACGCCGTTTTTCTGCCCTCAGCAGTGGTTGTTTGAGGAGGATCACTCGTGTGTAGTGACAACACCGAGTTCACAGCGATGGCGTTAGACGTCGCGTCCTCAGGAATGCGAATACTCCCTTTTACATGTGTTTTTTTCTGCGCCAATTAGGGTGGCATGGTGCCAGAGCGTTTTCGGCGCCGCGCCATGTTCGCCCGGACTGTATAAATCTGGAGGCGACTGCATGATGGTCAGCCTTCCACTTGACGACAGCACATGAAATCGTTAACTTCACGTCTAGCTGCCGTTGAACCAGTACATCTTCCTGGATGGGAACCCAATGATGAGAAGTGTCCTTGGCTTGACACGTTTGAGGACATGGTTCGCAACCAGAATCAGCGGATATATTGTACGCACATATGTCTTGATTCACATGCTTCATGCTTGAAACAAAAATATCGAGGGTTAAAATAAAAAAATATTTTCATCCCCTTTTATTAAAGTTGTACTTCTTTTGATTTCCCTGTCTTCGAGACTTTCAGCGATACGGCCTACGATCTGCTCTTTTCCCTAATGTCAGGTGTACAATTTCGATGCTTTCCCGCACCAAGTGTTCCCGCAACCCCCAAAATTATTGGGACCACAAGCCGGAAACGTGTTTTGTTTTTTCGTGGCAGATGCTGTATTACGGTACTGGATTGACAACAGAATTTTGTCATCCTAAGTTTAATCCGTCATTTCCATCACCGTGGTGATCACTTTCTAAAGAGTGCACTGTTTGATCATAATTGTTGTGTGAAGCTTCTAAGGTTTAGAGTGGAAAAGTTATGCAGTCAACCACACCGAACACTTCCAAGTTGATTTTTCTCAGGACAATATGTTTTGGTTGGAAACTGCGCAGAAGTGGATCAGGGCTGAAAACAGACGTAATCTAATACGGGCATGGAAGAATGCTCTAACAGGTTAGATTGGGTGCTTTGTTTGAAACCAGACACTCCAATCATCTGCGACCAGCCAGTATACAAACAAGTACAAGTGAACCAGCTGTAGCGTTTGACTTTCTCCTGGACAACTTCGATTTGCACCGTAGAACTCAGTAAGGGTGTAATTTACCCTGCCTATTAATCGCACTAGAAGCGAGTGTGCAGCCACAATAGTTTGTTGAGTAGATAGGTATATCCTTATTCATAGCCCAGAGGCCGTGTATCTCCTTTCTCGAGAGGAGTCTCAAGTTGATTTCTCATGTTATTTACGCTGGTTCATTTAAAGACTACACCTCCATCATAACGAGTAGTTGGCGTCGCTTGAAGTCTCCTGATCAGATGCCAACCAATAAGAATGCATATACTTCAGATCCAACCAATTAATCCTGACTTTAAGCACCTAGTCTCTGGTAGCGTGGCACGGTCATTAACGTCATGTACTCAGCAGTATATTCAGATACATTTTATTGCAACGGGATGCTGTATATTTCTGACCATGATTGGAGCTTGTTGGCAGGGTCTTCTCCTGATTTTTGTTGAGTTGATTGGACTGAGATCTTCACTAGCAGTACCCTGGCAACTTATTTTTAACAACAGCGCAACAATGCGTCATATGTCCAGTTGTTAATGGTCCGGTCGGCCCCCGGAATCGGCTGCATTGGAATATACGGATCCTGTTCAACACGGCGCTGTACAAGGGCCAATAATGGTTCTGAATTTCATCGCTTCCTTCTTTTCTCTGTTCGCCTCTTTGTTGTCACAACAAGTGGTTCCACTGCGGTTCGAATCTCGTTTCAGACCTGTCACCTGAAGTGCACCGGACCCCCTCCCCTGTGTTCTGACCTCGGTTCTTGAATTGGATCAATATTCTACTGCTAGATTGCAATTTGTTCCTTCTTCCGAAAAGCAGTTATTGTACCATGGTGCAGCTTGTGCTCACCAATCACTAGTAGCTGCATCTGCTATGGTGCAGCTTCTACTGCCTTGTACTGAAGATTGCCCTTCGCTTCGAACACGAACCTACCCGGTGACCGAATAATTCAGGCTTCTTGCTTGTACTCCACAAATCATCGGTTCGAACTTGTGTAGGTGCGGTGATCTGCTATATCCCTTAATCCCGCGCGATTGGTGGTGGCCATTTCGCTTTGAACCATCTGTACGATATTCCGGCGTACCACTGATGGCCTTGTTTTGCAGCGCTTGCCAAATTGACTGCTGCATGGCTTCTTCATTACTTGATCCGGACTATTCTTTCCCGCTGCTGGATGACGTTTCCCCACTACAAACTGCTGATGACTGGCTGCAACATGTCCCTACTAACTTTCTGGCTGCAGCATCACCACCCTTCCTTCATTGCACCCAATATTCACAAACATTTCCCAAATATGTGACCCAGCCTTGAATGATGCATCGTGGTTTTCTGGGGCATTTCATTTTTTCCTTTTTATCAGTCAAAGTGAATAAGCCGCGCTGTGGTTCAGCCCACCATATATATATATATATATATATATATATATATATATATATATATATATATATGTATATAGTTAACAGTGTTTATTATTTCAGGCGCTGCCAAAAATGCGCCACCTCTGGCGATTGATAACATGCTTCAGCAGACTACATATAGGCAATTATCTCTTTCAATAGCGGAGCCTATTACGTGAACGCGGAGACCACTCTATTCAGTAAGCATGTTTGCGTTTGTCATTGGACCTTTGAAGTTACGCGCCACTGTTGCAAATTACTTGGTACCTGTGTTTTGTTTTTACTGTGCACGTTTATCTTTTCCCTTCCTAAGGGAACTAGCTGGAAACGTGCAGATCCGCGGGCCGAAATCGCTGAAGCCAGACGTCTCGCATCTGGAAGTTGTGCGGCTAATGGATCACCAAGTTCGGTAAGTACAGTAAAAACACACTTTGCTCCAGCTAGAAATTAGGCATAGCCCGACCGAGAACACGACACTCCTATGACGCGTTTCGATGTTATCTCATCTCATCGGCAGGCATCGAACCCGGGACCATTGGGATGTTAGTTGTGACCGCTACCCCATTGTTTCTCTCCGTTTTCGTTGCTCCACCTGGTTTTATTGATTCTCACAAACGTATTCATCTCTCCTCGCCGGCCCAACAGCGATCTTGCCCGCTCTGTTTCCCTTCGCATGTCTTCTTTCGAATCATTCGTGGCTCGACTTTTTATTTACAATCCACCCATCACTGCTGTCTCTACATGGCCATTTGGATCACTGTGGGGATAAATATTCGATCACGGCAGACTGCGCGGAATCGTCGTTGGAACTGACTGTAATCAATACTCCTGCGATTAATAGCTTCATTTTATTGGAGGATTGATGCTCCATTCTAAGACACCATATAACAATGATTTTCACTATTTTAGCGCTTTCTATTTTTGCAAGTTTCTTTCTCAGCAAGATTATCTACATTTGACAGCTGTTTATCAGCCGCACAAATTGGCTGTTACATTACCGGACTGTTGTTAATGCCTCAACATCTTACTCACTTTAACACCTCTGACGGGATTGCTTCTGCAGCTAACTCGCGCAACTACTACATTTTCAGGTGCCCGTCAGATTATTACATTCATCCTACACTTAGGTCTAAAGTCGTGCGCATCCAGTACTGTATGGTATTTTGCAGCCGAATGCCATAAACCCGTTCACTGCTGTTTATCTAACATCTAGAGGCACATGGCACACCTTGCAGTGCCCACGGGTATCGATGTCGATCGAAAACCGATGCATCGCCTTTTCTACTTTGTTTAGTCAACATACTCCCCGTTTCGTTTCAGACCGATTACCCAGTCCATAGGACTGTGTAAGTACCCTCGTGTGCAAGTAATTTCGTATAGATACGTCCTTCGCTCGCTCTCTTGACCTAGACGGGATTAGGAATTGAATCACGAACATGGCTCAAGACCAAGTCCCACTAAGAACTAAATTCTGGGAGCCATAGCCGAACAGCACTTGCGGCTCTGTTCTGGATGTAACAAACGTTTGTACTCCATAAGCACCCACTTGACGGCAGGGTAGTGAAAGAACTAACCAATAAATTTAGCTTCCCTTCGTTCTGCACTACTAGTATGACTCCTACTTGTTACTTGCCTAGCTGTTTTGGCCATAAGCTAGCGGTAATGATTGAAGAATCTTCACTTGCTAGGAGTCCCCCTTCGGAATCAATTGCAGCCGGTCTGGGGGCCCAGTGCTCCACACTTAAACATAATGCCTGAGTCTGGAGTACGGGTAACACGGTGAAGCCGACTACGTGGACAACTGCAATTCGAAACCAGGCAACCAACAAAGTTTCATCTACTTTGGCGACTCCCATCCTGGCCTACATGAGATTTTCCGGTGCCAAATATGTGGCACATGCTACACCGGCACACCGTAACGTATTTTCTGTCACAGAAGGTGTAACTGCATCCGCGTTTGTTACTGCTGCCTACCAGGCAGGAGCAACTCCTGTAGCTGTACCTGACACGATCATACAGGGCACATGGAGTGCCCCATGTGCGCCCATCATTCCGCTAACAACTCAGACCACATTCCCTCTCAAATCGGTCACCACTAGACAAGCCCACGAGTCGCCGACTATCGTATGTTCCAGCGTTCCTGATTTTAACCTGAACTCGATAAAAGATAAGCTGCTGGACGACCAGAAACAACGGGAAGCCATATGGTTATTAATTTGCCTCCTTGCTAAACCGACTGGCTTGGTACGCATTGCACGGCACCCAAATGTGGATCACTCGGGGAACCACGGCTTCCACGGGTAGCGCTGCAATCGGAAAATGAACTAGACGCCATTTTGTTGTTTGCCACCTTTCTTCTGACTAACTCATGTAGTGTTCGAATTCTCCCTGACGTCCCTTGGAACTAAATTCAACGAAAAAACATGGCCATGATGACTAAAACCCGCTGAAGAACGGAATGGCCTTTATTCGTGGTGCTCCTGGGCTTCAGGATTCCTATGAATGTGATACGCAAACCCATGACTAGGAGGAATGGTGCTACACTCGTCAGATGCTCTCACTCGGTAACGTGATCGCGAAATCGATCTTGGTGCTATCCTCAGCATCAAACTACAAAGGCTGTGGCGACAAAGTGGCCTGAGTTATGCTCCAGTCCAAACATATAGCGGAGAACTACTCGATGACCCAGGGATTCAAGTTGTTTACTTCTTTGGTGCTGCCTGCAGCTAAGAAGCTTTGACTCATGTTATGTTACCATCACGTACTGCTCTCCGATGTCCACCCTACAAGCAAACGACCCTTATTCTCTTAAGACCGTTCTGGCACAGCCTTGCAGCCACGTTCTGTTTGTGGGGGACTCTGATTTGCACACTTTGTAAGTTCCAGCTTCTTTCGGTGTACAATTTAAGGCCGAACTGGTCTCTCATTTCGTAATTACGTTACGCCAATTATTTTAGCGCCGCCATATTTATTGGCGACCCATCGTAGTCATGTCCCTCGACACCTAAGTTGCCTTCGATTCGGTGGGTCGATGTGCCTTTTGGGACCGTTTACTGTGGGAAGGTGTGCCCAGAAATTGCGTAAACATTATCGGAGCACTGTGCCCGCATAGTTCGAATAGAGGGAGGGTTTACAACAAGCTGTCGCCGTCCTTCAATATTTCCAGTGATGTGAGACAGCGATATTCGCGGTCATTTTTCATTTTGAACTTCTCCATCGACGAAATCATGGAAACACCATTCACCGGACACGGTCTACAAGTCGTGGAGCTGCTCCTAGGTGAGCAACTTCCTGACTTGGAGTATGCCGACGACAATGACTTATCCGTGACAGCTTCCAAACGTGCCGGATAGCACTGGCTGTCAGTCGTTTCTGTATATGCTTTACATCCTCGAAGTGCAAGGCTTTTGTCCAAGATTGGCAGGGATCGCCTCCTGAGCTGGCTCTTGGTGGGGATCAGCTAGAAGTCGTCGAGAGATTCAAGTATCTGAGCAAATGTACCAGCGCTATTGGAATGGAAGATTAGGTCAAAAACGGCATAGCAAAAGCTTGAAGCGCTTTTGCCAATCTCTGGCGCCTGCGCGACATCACTCGCCCGAAGGACAGAGTTTACAACTCAGCTTTGCTTTCAACCCTCCTGTACGGTTGAGAAACCTGACCCCTTCAATCGGCAGCCATAAAGAGGCTAATCGCATTCTTCGCAGCTTACCTCATGTCTGGGGAGAACACCACGTGGGCAGTGAGTGTGTTCTACATCATTTATTGGGTGCGGGGAGAGCGAGTGGACTGCTCAGCACCGTTATGTCACGCACCAAGCTCTGATGGCTTAGCCACGTGTTGCGCATGCCAGCATACCGACTCGGCGACGTGCGTTGTTTGCGCCCCGTGGTATGGGTGATGAACACTGATTTTACACGGATTCAAAAGCACTGCTTTACAAGCCCCGTTGGGTAATCTGGTGGGTTATCGGAAATCGTTAATGAAAAAATGCGGTTAGTATTTCTTCTGTTAAAAGAATGGACTTATCTACTACAGTGTCCTTGCACTCCGAGTGTTTCCATAGCTTCATTAGGCGCAAACTAATAAATCCAAGGTATTTCCCGGGAGTAGGATGGAGAGTAGCGTCAAGTAACAAAATGTAAGTGGCGGAGTGCGTCATCCAACCGACTTTTTAAATATGGCTAGCGTGGGTGCAGAAACAACGGATTCGGGAAGAGCGTTCCATGGTTAAAACACACGAATGGAAAAGATATTTGTACGGCACGCTAGACGGCTGTACTGTTCTGCTAATTTCAAGGAGTGTTGCAGTAAAGAGTGGCACACATAATTTGGATTATGTAAGATCAAATACGCCACAATCAAGTCGCCTCGTTGTCGACGATATCGCCCGCTGAATACTCCCAACCGTTCCAGCTTCTGCTCGTATGGAAGGTGGCGCATTCCATTGACATATTTAGAATCCATAGCTGCCATAGCTGCCAGACTTGGATTTCATATTCGACATGGGGGCGAATATACTCATTCATCATCTTTCTGAAAGAGAAGGGGAGGCCAAGCGATGACTTGCTTAAGAGGCATGAAAATCCTCACTTCGGAGTTGGCGTCGGTTGATGTCTCCCGACTGCCAGGCTGGGGACACGTCTGGTTGAATTCATTCGTTGAAATGGTGGAGTACCAGCCTCAATAGCGTTTGTGTGGTGAGTTCTTTTGTCCTTCCCCTGCAGCCACAACCTTTGTCTCAAAGCCTAATATGTTACTACGCATTATGTTACCGGTTGTTTTTGGAATTCTATAAGGTTTAGTATCTCGCTTTTTCATTTACCCTATCTTTTTGTATCGCGCATTGTATTTGTAGTGTTTCTTATTTTTACCTGTTATGTAATAATGGTGATGACGAATTAGCTTACGTCTCCTACTAGACTCAGAACGGAAAAATACCGGCCATTCTGTACCTTTTGTTTACCAATGCGGAACTTATGGTCGATACAGTAACACTGAGAGTAGCCCCTTGAGGCACAGCGCCCATTCAGCGCTGCTGTTCCGCTCCGTTGCGCACAACATTACAACGGGGACATCGAAGAGACCCCTATCGTAACACATCACAGCATTCTATCCGACGTCATGAGTGCCACTGATTTGGATTTCATAACTGATCAGCTCCGTGATATTTCTGGATGGAATTCATCAATCATTTTAGCACACTAGAACAAACGCACTAAATACCAAGATCCTCAGCTGGAAAATGTAAAGTCCTTCCTGAGGAGCAGAACGTATAAACGTATGACTTGGATTCATCTTGAAAAGCATACATATTTAGTCCATACCACGAGAACTGGAATGCCTACATAATCAAACGGAACCATTGTGTGAGACTAGTCCACGATGATACATTGAAACTAACAAGGTTTAGCAAAGTAGTTCTTGTCCAACCATAAGCTACTTTACAGGCACACCAACAAACTCCGTAAAGTTCAACGACATTTCCCTGCTCTAAAGAGCGTATTTTGGCGAGCGCAAATTGTGTAAGCAAGAGTTAACACTTAGAAAACAACTTACTTCCTTTTTCTAGTATGTACAGCCACCTCATACCATTGTCACGCAGACCAAGCCACCATCAGGACTTATCTACATCTTATTCACTGCCGCGGATGTACTGAGATGACTGTGGCCCTTGCGTGAACACAGTTTCCTTGGTGCGAACAACTTACACCTTAAGTTATTTAAGGTAGCTACCAGGATCTTGTCTGAAGCGTTGTCTGGATGACCTGCAGGTTCCTACTATATGGACACATGTAGTAGTCAGCCCCATTTACAGGGGGATCGAGGTGAAACCGCAAACTACTAGATGATAACTCTTCTGTCGGTTCTTCCTAAAGCAATGGAATCTGTCATTGCAGACGCACTTATGGGATATTTGAAGAGATGCAGTATCCTCGTTCCTGAGCAACACAGCTTCCATCAAAAGCGCTCATGTATCACGAGTCTTTTGTTAGGCAATGCCAGCTGGATGGAATCCGTGGATGCTGCAAAAGGTGTTGACACTACCTACCTGGATTGCTCGAAGGTTTTCTCGTCCAGATCACAACATTCCGTTTTTATGGAGTAGATGACACTGTCTAGGGCTACTTGCATTTTTGCTCCGACGCCGCTTGAATGTGAACCTAGTGCTATATCTAACCCCTTAGAAGTGCATTGTGGTGTCTCTTTAAAGAATCGGTACTAAGGCCTTGGCTATCCTTAATGTTCATGAATGATCACGCAGCAGATCTCACCTTGGACTGAATGCTCTTTGCAGATAATCCCAAGATGATCACATGGCACTGTAAGGCGGCCTCAATGGGACTTACGAATAGTCCTGTAAAAAAATATCAGTGTAAAGTATTGAGCATGTGCCACCAGAGTATCCACGAATCTCGGTTAGGAGAATACCTTTTGCATCGCGCTTCCCGTGAACATGACCTTGGGGTCGCTCAAAACTGGCCGTCTAGGCAGTGATAAAAGCGGGTCAGCACTTTACTCTCCTGTGGATGTCTTTTGGCCGTCTTGATTTCACAAATTTTTGCAGTTGCTTAACGCCTACTTGAAGCAACCTGTGGAATACGTCTTCCGAGTCGACACCTCAATGCTCTGAAGAGCCCACAACAAAAGCGTCTGAAAACTTGAGAGCTTGCCTCCTCTCTGTTACCGACTTAAGATGAATGCCCTAGTATTCAATGAACAGTAATCATCTGCGAGGTGTATCGGATCCTCAAGCTGCTAACCACACATGTAGGTGCTTATTGAAACAGTTACAATACCACACCGAAAGGCCACCATTGGCCACACAATGTAGCCCGTTGGAATGGCGCCGGGGTTTTTTCCTTTGTGTATCTTAATCGTAGAACTCTCTTCCGAATTCTGTTGTCTTTGCTCTCTCGTTAGCCGAACTAACAACTCAATGTGATGGCACATTACACCACCTGCATTGCGTGTTTTAAACCCAAGTTGTTGGGACAGAGCATAACATAACCAAACTATGGACACATGTGAAATATACGGTGTGTTAGTACATACATGTTACTTTTTTCTTGGTATATTTGCTTTTGCATCCAGTCTCTACTTGCGGGAATTGTTAAGCATTCGCTATTTTCTTCGTGCTAAACCCCTTGTTCCATCTTTCGTAGTTACGCTTCGTAGGTTGTTTAGGGACGAACTGATTAGACTGTTTTCTTTTTTTCTTCTAGGATCACACGCATCAAAACTCCGGTATTCCTTCTGAATTCTGCGCGGCTCGTGGTGGTAAGGTCGAAGGAACCGTGTCCAATGTAGTTCTGCCATCCAGCATATATGAGGTCTGTCACAAACGGTAGCCCCCTCAGCGTTTCTCGTCTGATGGACTAGCTTTCCTTTTCATCTAACCTAATAATCAGACACGCTAGATTTCCCTTTTGCTGATAATATTTATGCTTCATTGCTCCAGCAATCACTATTCTACTTTCAGCGTACCCCGGGGGCATATTAACCTAAGGTCCCCGAGTGGGGAGAGGGTTTTCACTTAGTGCATACAACAGCGCTCAGTATGTCTCTTATTCATCGACGCATAAATGCCTCATGGTTCAATCTTCCAACCGTAATTGCCACGTGAATGTGCGGCTGTTTATTTTGCTATTTCAATGTGAATTGTTCATCTACTTGGTGCGCTAGCATCAGGTTTTTCTCTCTGTGCATGCTTAAAACAAGAGAGCTCTTTTGTAGTTTTACTTGCCACTTTGGTAACTTAAAGCGTACATTTTTTGTCAACTGAATACATTGTTTGGATAAGTTGGACACCTATGCATGCGTGTTCCAGCCGGTATCACACATAACTCCCACCTTTTCTCCGATAGTCGTCCGGCACACCTTCCAACGACTAACGTCTTCATTTATACGCGCTCATATTCGGGGGAGGGGGATGCACTGCAGTATGATACAAGTAGCTGAGTTTTAACTTCAAGCGTGATACCTTTCCACCCCATTTTCTATCATTGTTTCACGCAGATGCGTGGTCGCATCACCGGTTTTCTTCTCAAACTTTCTTTCCTCATCTCGTGCGTTCTTTTGCAGCCTAATGGGTCTTCTGCGACTGGGATGCAAGGAGTCGGCGAACGACTGAACTCTTCTTCCACATCAATGTCATCACCTGACCAGCTACCAGGGATCGCTAGCTCTATTCACAATCTTCAATCAGCGATACCTTCATCGGGTGTGGCGTCCGATTCTGTTGCTCAGCCGGCTTCCGCGTGCAATCTTCCTGGTCCTGTCGTCGTTTGCCTTTACAATTACACTGCGGGTACGTTTTCCTCTCTATTTATACCCTTGTCTTATGATTTAGTAGTAAACCACGTCCCTTGATTTACCTGCAGGTACACGACTAAATCTTCCGATCTGATGAGGTCACATCGACTGTTAACGAAATGTCCACTGTCAAACTGCTCAGGCTTCACAAAGTCGCTTACGATGCTTTGCAAACCAGGCCCTTGAAAGCGCACTGATAACCTTGCCTCGTCTGGCAACGAGACGCCTGCAAAATAATCATTCAGTTCAGCAAGCAATGCAAAATTCACATCCACACCTCAAGAATCGGATATTCTCAGTTAATTTAAACTTAATTGCACTTTTCTGCTACGTTTTGCTGACCAAAATCTGTTTGTTTGACTATAGTTAGCCCTAGCACGGTAAGGCGGCACGTGCAAGTGGAATGTAACCACCACTGCATAAAATCCACAACAAACTATTACTGTTACGTGTCGCTCTCTGATCAAAATCCTTATTTTCAGTACCCAAGCAGGTTTATTTTGGTTGACTTGCTCACAACTGCGACGATTTGTATAGCCGTCTCTGCTAGCACATAAGCGGGAGGCGCCAATTTGTCGAACCCCTAGCTTCTTCCATGTAGTTTTGTTCTTCACATTTGCAGTCCTTCGTCATTATCCCCGAATGAAATGCTGCTAATAGTGTTTTTCCTGTTTTTATTCTCTTAGCGGATGACGATGAGCTTTCGTTTGCGAAAGGAGATCAGATTTTTCACATTCAGCAAATCGATGAAGGTTGGTGGCTCGGTATGACGGCAGATGGTCGACGAGGCTTGTTTCCTGCCAATTATGTGGAACTTGTGGCATAGTTGTCATATGAAACTTCAAACTCGCTGCGATATTTTGTCCTGCATTCTGCGTTGGTGCCTTGGAATTTTGCTACTCTTGCAGTCCTGCATTTTTTCTTCAGTAGTTTGATTCTTATTGTTCCGACTCGGCTTCCAACTCATTTTTCCTCATTTGGTACAATCTTTACAACCGCTGCACTGAATCGAACAAACATCTGTTCCTCATGCTTCTCGTGTGTAGTCAGCAAGCTTCGAGGCCATGTTCGCTTCATATATCATGTTTGCTTTGCCAACTGTCACCATTTACCAGTTCCTTCTGCCTTCTTCTCACTAATATTACTGTTCTCTTCTTGTTCCTTATCAGATCCTTCAACAAACTATCCACCTTACATAACTGTATTTGCTTTTTCTTTGCTTTGGTCAACGCACTCGTCTGTGATGCCACCGTGCCGCGCCCATCCATCGCAATTAAACGGAGTTACTCATTGTTCAAAGCAGTCTGCTGTTCCTCTCACACCTGTGCTTGGCCTCCCCCGCCGATATCACCGTCTTCCTTTGGTCAGATGACTGATGAAGTGCTTATGTGCATCACTGGCGTTCCACATTGTCGCACGCGCTGTCTGTTCTGCCTTCACGCGCTTCTCTTCATCGCGCCAGAATTGGTATGGTGGTCTGATTCAATTTAAGTCCGATCGCTGGCTCGGACACACCGACATGCAAAGAGATGCGACGGCAATTTATTATCACTGCCTAATGATCTTTCAGTCACTGGTTTGATCTTCATGCATTTGATCAAACCGATCTTCCAGTTTATCGAACCTCCGTCAGCGTGAATTCGAGAACGTGCTGCATGTCTCTGCTGTGCCCTCACTGTGTTTTGTGGGATGTTTTATTTTCCTTTAACTTCCAGCTTGGTCCTAGGCATGTGCGTCCCACAATGCCTCCTACTTTCCTGGTGCCTTCATCTTGCTTTTCTTCATTCATCTGTCCTTGGCCTGTAGGCCACCATTTATTCCTCATTGTCTTACGATTATGCGTTGCATGCAGTCTCCTTCATATCTGCCTTTATGCACGTGGTATTCTAGTCTGCATTCTGTGCTATGTACCTTTTCTAATACTCTCCAGCGCCTTTGTTTCATTCGTCTCTTCAATTGCTTGGTAGCATACGTTTCCTTGTATCATATCTTTTTCTGTGAGAGCGTATGCGCATCGTGTGCGTTCCAATTATGCTAACCCGGCGTAATCTTGTATTTCTTTGTCGTTCGATCAAGTCTTCGAATTCGGCATAGCCATTACACCGAACAGCCTACCTAGTACTCGTACACGTGATTCTATGACATTTACTGTGGGCATCGGCTCTGCTGCCATCGCAACATTCGTCGCTGCAATTGAGCCTTCGCTGTGTAGCCTAGAGTATATTGCCGCATATCCGGCGGTCATACTTCATTTGCGTAACCTCACTGCACAGTGACTCGAATGACCTAAAACCACCTTCGCGTTCAATGTTATCATTTTAATCACTTTCTTCTGGGGACTGACAGTGGTTGCTAATGCTGATGAAGGTACACTTTGTCTTTTCGCTTCTGAATTCACTGAGCATTTCTGCCGCCGGAATTTAATATGATTCGTAGAGGGTAGAAGTCACGATTAAACTCCACACGAAAATCTGCCTCGGCGGGGAATCGAACACCGGTCCACGAATTTCTGGTCCGTTGCTCTACCACTGAGCTACCGAGGGCTGACGATTAGGTGCGGAATTTAACACGTGACTTCTGCTTTTTGCGCGACGTATTGCCAATGAGCTCACAGTAACTGTCCTGGTGTTGCAGATCGGCTCACTCACTCGTCACTTCTCAGTGGACCGAAGTAATTGTCCATCCGAAGTCCAAAGGGCGATGGTAGATTATTTGAAGGATGTTTGTGGTTAACGTAAGTTTCGTAGAGGGTAGAAGTCACGAAATAATTTGATATGAACCAACCATTTGTGCACGCAATTCGCCTCGGTCACCGACTAGCACGCACTGCTACCTCATTGATGGAATGTGCGCCATCGCTACGTCTGCATGCATTGGGCCACGGACACCGTTGTGTGGGCTTACCTACGTATGCGTGATGCACAGATTATTGACTGGCTCCAAGCGCATCGAAGTTCCAGTCTGCTTGCCCCCAGACCTTACTACATTGCTTTTGCGCTGGCCACTGCTACAACTTACTCGAGACTGTTCCATAAAATTGGACTTCCAGTGGCTCTTGACAGTGATAGATGAGTCTTGAAACCGTTTCTGTCGTCGCTATTCTTTACCGGGATACTTCAAATACTCATCCAGTCTCATGTTTTTTCTGGGCGGAACGATTATTTTTAGTATCTTTCGTCGCATGTTTCTTTTTCCATCGCTAGCATCCGTGCTTATGTACACATTCCGTCAACCACATTCCAAACACTAAAATGCAATGAACCGAGCCACCACCTCTCATGGCATCAAGATTACACAAACAATATGTTACGATCCATCGGCCAGTATTGCGATTCATTACGAACACCGGTAGACACTAAGCCCACAAGAGAACACAACACAACTTCGGTATCCAGTTGATTGCTGCAACCCAAACAACACGACAGAAGACAAAACCTCCGAACGAGATCTATTATGATGATAATCCAGGCGTCAACAACGAAACACTTGTAGGAATTTGAAGGTCTACAAATGGCCTTGTGAAATTCGCCCATCACGGCCTGAGGCGCAGGCGGATTTGCACGCGCCATTTTAAAAATCAAAGTGTCGGATAATATTAAATCCAGATCTGGGTGGTTTCCAGTATCATTTTCGGAAAATCTAACGTTTTCCCAACACCACTCTTGGGGTTACCTTGGTCTACGTGAGTCTAGCTACGATAATCTTTTTGGACGACATTTCAGGTCAGTACATTTCCTGGGTTGTAGCGAGATTTCATCCGGAGGTGTACATGATAGTTATGTCATTGGGCTCTGAACAGTTGCGAGCCCGAACGTGTCTAGCAGTTCACCTGTTGATCGTTTTTTCGAGCTTGGTAAAGAGATCGCATACGTTTCACCACCATGCGATGTGGCATCTTCAGTGCGGTAATAGGCAGTGTATAATGCTGCTTATTGAATTATCAGTCCGTCATCCACGGGCAGGTGATTTTTGAAGATGGCAATTTCGATTTGCACCACGTGATCTCTGCCCATTTGCTTCCACAGCTGAACCCCGTCTTGCGATTCGCCGGAGATCTTTCTATCTGAGTTGATGGTACACGGGATCGATGTCGATGCGCATGTTGATCGAATTATTAGAGGAGTACCATGCTTCTAGGAACTCTCTTCCTTTCTGTGTTGTTGTTTGAGCTAAAATCACTGTTTGTTTCCAATTGAAGCTATGTCCCTCCTCATCCACATGCGCTGAGACAAGAGACGATGCATAATGCTTTTTACAAGCCCTCTGATGTTCTTGTATTCGTGTGGATAGTTTCCTTCCTGTCTGCCCCACATAGTTCATTTCACAATTATTGCAATTTATTTTATACACGACGTTTGTTCGTTCCTGTGCATTCCTAATGTCCTTTGGGTTTGATAGTATTCTTCTCAAAGTAGCGGTTGGCTTATGAGCGACCTGATACTGGTGATCCCTTCACTTGCTCGTAGATCTCTTCGTTGAACGAGAAATAAGTTGTGAGGCATAGTTGGAGAAGCTTGCAAATGCTTGCACTCGTCATACTCCCAATTTTCTCATCTCTGTTGTTCATGCGTTCTATGATGGCTTCTTTTGCCAGTTGCAAATTGACAGATGTAAATAAAGCGGTGACGTCGAAGGAGACCATCGTTTCGTCATGATCTAAATGCAGGTCCTTGAGCTTCTCTAGAAATTGATTGGCGTTATTTACGGATTGCTGCGAACCGTTGAGTAGATGTTTGAGTGGCCTCCACAATTCCTTCGCCAGGTTGTAGGTGGGTGTACCTGGAAGTGAAGCAATTGGCCGCAACGGAGCACCCTCTTTGTGTACTTGTGGGAGCCCGTAGAATTGGGCGATGTTCGAGTCACGGGCCCTCATTTTATTCCTTTCAATTTCTGTAATTTCTTTCAACTGTTGTAGTTCATGCGATGTTTTGTCTATTTGGTTTGTTAGCTGCGATGTCCGATCGTAATTAATGCGCCTGTATGTGCTTGTATCTTTCAGAAGTCGTTTTGCTTTCTCCATATAGTCTGCCTTATCCATTATGACTGTCATACGTCCTTTGTCTGCAGGAAGGATAACAATTGACTCGTCGGATCTCAGGGCTTTCATTGCTTCGTGCTCTTGTCGAGATAGGAGTTTGTATTGCTTGACGTGTGTCATGGCAGGGACGATTGTGTGTCGGATTTGCTTCTGTATCTCTTTCCAAGTCCATTTGACCGTAGAGCGTTTTCGAATTCCGCTAAAAACTCCGTGGTTGCCGCGTCTTTGATATTGTAGTTCAAAGTGCCACAAAATAAGTTGCGTGTGGACACTATTTCGCAGGATTGAAACACACGACAGTGCAGTGGAAGCCAAACGGGAATAAGAGAACCACCTATTCAATTCGTTCGAGCGCAATGGATACCCACGCAGCTTCATCCGCAGATGTCTAAACCATAAACTTAAGAACACCGAGCCGATACCAAATGCAAGCAAGCGGGTCGTTTTGCCGTATATGAAGAATATATCTGAAATGACTGCCAGATTGCTCAAACAATACAACATCGTGGTCGCTCATAAGCCAACCGCTACTTTGAGAAGAATACTACCAAACCCAAAGGACATTAGGAATGCACAGGAACGAACAAACGTCGTGTATAAAATAAATTGCAATAATTGTGAAATGAACTATGTGGGGCAGACAGGAAGGAAACTATCCACACGAATACAAGAACATCAGAGGGCTTGTAAAAAGCATTATGCATCGTCTCTTGTCTCAGCGCATGTGGATGAGGAGGGACATAGCTTCAATTGGAAATAAACAGTGATTTTAGCTCAAACAACAACACAGAAAGGAAGAGAGTTCCTAGAAGCATGGTACTCCTCTAATAATTCGATCAACATGCGCATCGACATCGACCCCGTGTAGCATCAACTCAGATAGAAAGAGCTCCGACGAATCGCAAGACGGGGTTCAGCGGTGGAAGCAAATGGGCAGAGATCACGTGACGCGAATCGAAATCGCGTTTTTCAGAGCCCATTTGATGGCGTCCACAAACCGTTCGAGTAAGAGTGGTACGGCGGGGTGTGAACGTGATTACTGGTACTCCGACAGCTGATGTGCTGGAAAAGTTGCGATGTAAACGGTTCCGTTATCCGAAACTAGGATATCTGGAGAGCCGTGCATGCTGAAAGTTCTGCGCAGAGCAGGGATGGTGGACGATGATGTTGCCTTTGACAATTAAATTAACTCTGGCCACTTAGACGTCGCGTTGACTATGGTTAGCTACATCATGCGATTGACTCAGCCCTCGAAATCGACGTACAGGCACGACCACGACTTATTGATTTGAGTCCATGGTAGTGTGGTTATACGCGGAGAACTTCTGGTGATCTGTCGGCAACGGAAACACTGTTGTATCGACGTCTCTAGTTGCTTGTCGATGCCCGGCAGTAGACGTAACTTCGGACGATGGCTTTCATCCATCCTTCGCTATTTTGGCTTGCGTGAAAACCTCGTAGGACGGTCAGTCGAAGCGAAGAGAGGATGAAAATGCGGTCAGTAAACATTAGACAGGAATTGATTATGGACAAGCTGTCTCGACGGAAATAAAGCTGCCGTAGGTATCCAGCGAGTGCTGTCGTTGGCCATTTGTTGCGGACCCCATTCTTTGCTTCTTAAAGAAAGGGATCGGTCTTCGTTTCTCTTTTTGATTTCGCGAAGTGACCGGAACTACACGGACAGTCGCAGCCCAGGTTCGCACGAGTATCCGATTCCAGGGAGACTATTCTAATGATAGGGCTCTCCCGCTCCGATCAATTTGCACTGAGTAACCGGGACCGGGCGCCGGTTTTTCTTAAGTATTGCCTTTGCCAACAGCGTGTCAGTCATAGTTCAATAGAAAAGTTGACGAGCGCTGCAATCTGCTGGTAGAACACGTTACGATGCCTTGTTAGAGCTGAAGATAGCTAGTAACGGTTTGTGGTCTGTTAGCAAGCGGAACT